CAAAAGTGTAATTTTGCCAGTCGTGTTTTATGGGTGCGAAACTTGGTCTCTCACTTTGAGGGAGGAACATAGATTGAGGGTCTTTGAGAACTTAGTGTTGAGGAGGACATTTGGACCTAAAGGAGAGGGAGACGAATCATGGAGACAATTGCATAATCATGATCTTCACGGCCTGATTTTGTTGACAAACACATCGAACACATCGTAATACAAATGGCCTGAGATGCTGATTTAAATGAGATATTTATGCTTCATCTTGTACGTTAAGTAAAGCATTGAACATTTTGGACCAGCCTGTACTTTATCTGCACGTGCACGTGCTGTTGAAGGGAGTGATCTCCCCCTTTATTCTCGAAAGTCTGTTCGGATTGAAAAAGCAAACAGTCTTTTTCTACTCACCGCCGTGGACACCTCAAATCCTACAATTGCACACATTTCATAATGCTCTTAACTTAAGTCATTGACTTGCTAGCTTATCTTAAGTAACGATGAAATCAGTATCGTTGGCGAAGAGGTTCTCCAAAATCTTGAATATCTTAGCGAGAACGTGGTGGGGCTTTGGTAATGCTGAGAATGAAATATTTTCTCACTGCACGTATTAAATAACATAATGATAACGTAGCTCACGTGCTGCCTGCATCCGCCTTGCTGCTGACAAAGCATTAGTATCGTCGTCACCTTCTCAGTGTTCGGTTCAAATAACCCTGCCTTTGGTCATGCATGGACTCTGTCCCTTGCGAAAAGTCAAGGGGGGATATTCAACATTCTGTAGTAACAGACGTAAAAACGTGCCATAACAGCAGGGAAACACGAGTGGCCTCAAGTCTTTAAAAACGCTAATTGCTATTACGTGGTTTTATTTTAAACGAAAATCGATAAAACATTAAGATTGAAGAAGACAGTATCTTCGGACTCACCGCCGTGAAAACCTCAAATTCTACTAAACACTAAGAAAACGCAGAGAGAGAAATTTTACAAGTACTGATTGAATATTTCTTTGTATTTTGACTTCAAAGTCATTCCTGAACAGCTCTGGTACAGAACGCATACTGTACGCTCTTCAGTGGTACACACACAGCTTAGAAAAATAATTTTGCCCACGGGTGAGAGCCCTGATGCGTCTCTACAGCAGTCAGAGGTCGCTCGCCGTTGAAGAGAAATCTCCAGACATCAGGCGTCTCCTTAATTCGGCATTTAAGTAGATATTATCAGAAGCAGACTGACGGACGGTCACAACAACATGGATGACGGCGACTATGAAAGAAGGAAAAACAGGGGCCGGGCCACTGACTGAGTCTTCCTTGGTAACATTTTTGAGTCTAAAGCAAACAAATCTTTGCCAATCAGTATTATCCACAAGATTCGAAGGCTTTGAAGGTTAATTTTGATGCTCTGTATATTTTCAGACGACACGTGTGTTCTGTACAGAAGGCTGTGACGCAGCCTGTGAAAATCTTACAGTCGTACTGTAAGCCGGCGTTCAAATCTTACACTCAGCCCTGCCTCGACAACAAGAGCTGTAATGGAGTTCGGTAAGTTCTGAGGATGCGACGTCACATTAAATGAATGCTCTCCCTGTCACGTCCTGACGATTCTGATCGAGAATGTAAAGAAGAGTTCGCAGAACCTCCTAGGTCAGTGGTATTCAACCTTTTTTGTTCGCGTACCCCCAGATATAATTTCTCTTCAACTTTGTACCCCCAAAGTTGTTGGTGTATAATTCAAGTTATACATAGTATATAATCTACATCTAAAATAAATTAAATAAATTACATTACTGATTATTCAGTGTTTATCATAAAATAATATATATATTTTTTTAAAATTTCACGTACCCCCTAAGATGTCTTCGCGTACCCCCAGATATAATTGCTCTTCAACTTTGTACCCCAAAAGTTGTTGGTGTATAATTCAAGTTATACATAGTATATAATCCACATCTAAAATAAATTAAATAAATTACATTACTGATTATTCAATGTTTATCATAAAATAATATATTTTTTTTAAATTTCATGTACCCCCTAAGATGTCTTCGCGTACCCCCAGATATAATTTCTCTTCAACTTTGTACCCCCAAAGTTGTTGGTGTATAATTCAAGTTATACATAGTATATAATCTACATCTAAAATAAATTAAATAAATTACATTACTGATTATTCATTGTTTATCATAAAATAATATTTTTTTTAAATTTCACGTACCCCCTAAAATGTCTTCGCGTACCCCCAGATATAATTTCTCTTCAACTTTGTACCCCCAAAGTTATACATATTATATAATCTACATCTAAAATAAATTAAATAAATTACATTACTCATTATTCAGTGTTTATCATAAAATAATATATATTTTTTTTTAAATTTCACGTACCCCCTAAGATGTCTTCGCGTACCCCTGGGAGTACGCGTACCCCAGGTTGAATACCACTGTTCTAGGCTATACGAGGGTCTAATCTCCGTAATTGACAAAAGTCGTAATAAATAATTATTACATTTCATATCGAGCTTTATTCCCCGAAAGCTGTCCATACGCCTAACACGTGTCGCTAAATATGAAAAAAAAAAAATCTCAAAACCGATCATCTTCATCGAGACATTACCAGAGAAGATTTTGGGTTTGTGACCCTCGTTCGCGTAAAACTTCTTGACGAAAAACAAAGTATGTTTTGTCCAGGCGCCGTCCTTCTGTCCTGCTTAGTTTCGTAGCGACAGGACCCACCCTCACAGAGACTCGAACTCTGTACAATTTCTCGGCGTTCTGACCTTTCTGCTCTCAAGGAACAAGCACACCAAGTTTGGTGCAAATCGGTGTATCCATTCTCGAGCTTTAAGCGAGCGTACACACACTCATAATTTCAGTTCTGTAGCCCTTGTCTGTGCGTGTGATATCTGTTGGAGAAATGCACATGTTCAAAATATTTTCGAGCATTTTAAGACATTTTTCAAATATATGATACAACACTTTCACGGCGAACCGATGTAACGAAATCAGGGCGTCCTGATGATGTGGACAGAAATGGTCCCCGAAACGTCTGCGAGTTTTAATCAATCACGGCTGAGAGTCCAAGAGAATTTTATTAAACTTCTTTAATGTCTATATTATTATATATTAAATCTTGTCCGTCTAATCACAATAAATTCTTATTAAATATTAAATTATTACAATAATTAACATTTTAAAATATTAAATGATGTTCTTTATCGAAATATTCGATTTACATTAGACCATCATTTTTCATGTTTCACGACATGTTTCAGTTCCTAAAGGAACCATCCTCAGGTGTATATAATTATATAAATCTTCAATGTCATTTAAGTCTACTTTTAAAGTAGCAGCAGTTACTTGTTAATACCATCCAGGAACATAGTTTATGTCATTGGTGTAAGTAAACCCCTCTGTATTTCATAAATTTGGTTTCGTTCATTTTTCAGATTGGTGTACGAAACTGCATTTAGAACAGTGTACGAGACAAAAATTAATCGGTACACAAGCTACATTTGCTGTCCAGGTTGGACGCAGATCACCAAAATAGACAACGGATGCAATAAAGGTAAATAATTTATGGGTAACTTAAGAGATATATTTCATAAAATACTAACATTATTCTAGCAAATTGAAAATTTTCAAAAAAATGCTATAAATTGTCCAAGAAGCGCACAAAACCAAAAAAATCTCACCTTCAAATTTTTTTTAAAAAAAATTTCAAAAATTTTCTTTTTTGTGCACTTTTCAGACAATTTCCAGCATTCTTAATTTTTCGAAAATTTTGAAAATTTTCAATTTTTTTCGAAGGTCTCCTCAAGAGATGCATGCCAGTCTCGGTGAATGCCTACAAGCAATGCAATCATAAACGACGTTTCAATGGTTACGGAACAAATCTTCTAACACAGCGGTACAGTTTAAAGTTCGCAAATTTCATACGTCCAGGACGAATTCAATGATTATAATAATTATATAATTATAATATTAATATTGAGTTTCGTTACGTATAACTATCTGATTTCGCACGTTCACAAATAATTACAGCCTGAATGAAGTCTTTCAAAAGTCAGTAATGAAAAATGGAACTTCACATCTTAAATGTATTAAGAATGAACGTCTTCAGGTGCGGCTATGATATCCGCTGTGGTCTTATGGCCTGTGACGACGATGTGGTTATTAGTGCTTCGGAGTGCGTCGACACATTCCTCAGAAAAGCTGCCAGTCACCGTCACAACCCACAAGACACGATCAACGATTTGTCTCTTAAACTCCAATTGGTGGGTCCTGTTTTCGAGAAGACCTCTTAAGGTCTTCTTCAAGTGGAGTACTCTATCGACATACGGATTCTATAGTATTATATACTCCACCTGAAGATCCATGATCAGACACCTTCTTGAGAAACTGATAGTCGCTCAACTCGCCAAAACATATCCCGCCGTTTATGACACACAAAAGTTCATCATCGTCAGATTTTGGGTTCTCACACCGGAGACTATGGAGATTGTCTTCTGGGTTGTTGCATCGTGTAGTCCGGTAGACGATTACCGACGTTTTAGTCTCATCGCCCTGATAATCAAGGCAGCAAGTAATCTTGAAACGTCGATAAACCTCTACCAGACAAGGAGCTACAACCCAGGAGAAGTTTCAAATGCGCTCGTGACTAAAATCTTGTGGGTATTTTCCATGGGTTGAAAAAGAAGTCTTTGAACGACGAGACCGATAAAAGTGGAACCGGAAATGAGCTCTGTGGCCAGCTCCTCCTTTGATCCAAAATGTTTGTGCTTCCGTGATTTAGGACAACCACGGGCTCTGTTCTGATGGCTGCAAAAAACATTTATTCAACGAGAAAGTTGGCTCAGGCGGTAAGTAAAGCTTTAGACTTGTATTCGGAAGGTACACGGTTCGGCTCTCAGCCGTAGAAAGATTTCCCGGCCTGGGTTTTCACGGTTTTATTAATGGTCACTTAACAGAGAACAAAAATCCGGAAATTGTATGCACAGTTTAACAAATCTGTTACTGCCTCTAGATTTTGAATTTTTGTCCGTAATTTTTGTTAGAAATATTTCTGTAGCTTCTACAAATATTTAGTGAGTTACGTTTTCACGAAAAAGTGTCTGTTATTGTCGTCAAATTCCAACCAAAATTGTACTTTGTACACAAATTTCAGTAAAACTCCAGTTCAATATTCCGCGAAAGTCTGTTGTTAAGCGACTCTCGAATTGTTACGTGCTGACAGACACGGCGAAGCTAACAGGCGAATTTTTCAACTTAAACTCGCTGAAATGTCTGTGTTTACCTGCAAAATAATGTTAGTGGAGTATCCGAACCTTTCTACACATAAAAAAGTATTAGAAATCTGCCAGAACAGTCCAATATGCCTATTCAAATCGGGAGTTCCCGTACAAGACAGCGATGATCAAGATTTTTTGATCTTAATTGTATATTCGCTTAGAGTTTCATATTAGTAATTTTCGTGAGTGATATTGCACTTTCTTATCGCTGGTCTGTACGCGTTGAGGTGAGTGCGTGCGTACCCTTACGACCGGAGGAGAGCCAAGTATAGGGTATACCATAATCACTACAACAACAATCACAGCTGTGAACTACTTCATCTGATGAACAGACTCCTTCTTGAGAAGCTAACAGTCGCTCATTTGGTCAATTCTCAACCTTTTATGGAACATAAACGCTCATTACCGTGGTTACAAGAACCTACCATAGGTCGCTATCATCAGACAAATAAATCAAGTCCACACCCACCTCTATATTTTCTTCGAAAGATTCATTTTAATATTATACTCCCATTGTCGTCTGTGTTTTCCGAGTGGTCTCTTCAATTCAGGTTTTCTGATCAAAATGTTGTATGCATTTATCATAACTCCCATACGTGCTGAATGTCTCGCCCATCTCATACTTCTCGACTGAATCACTGAAGAGTACAAACCACGATATCATTGTCAAACACCTTCAACATATTTCCTTCCCTTAATTCGAGAGACCAAATTTCACACCCATTCAAAATTCTAGAAGAAAAATTATTTTAATAACTACCACTATCACGCAAGACTTGAGACGTGGTGTAATGAAATGACGTACGAAATTGAAACTGAAGATGGCGTCTTATGGGTTATCGCACCGTGCGGAATGATAGAAGTTTACTGACGTTTCAGATATGTTTGATGCCTCCATCATCAGGACATATCTGAAACGTCGGTAAATTCAGCTGTAATAACCTGAAATCTCACCAACATAGATTGTGGGTATGAAAAACGTTCTTAAGAGAGTATTTTAACATGAGACAGAGACGAGGTAACAAATATTATGATAAAATCAACGAGGATCACATGAACAGGTTATGTAGCACGCATGAGATGTGAAATTCACAGTCGAAAAACCTAAACGATAAAGCAGTTACTGCATAGTTGTTTTTCACTTGTGGTGGATGTCTGAAATTTGAAATTTGTAATCCTGGGGTCTCGGGTTCGATTCCCGGCGGTGCCCGAATTTATAACTTGTGTTGGGCAAGGCCGTGGTCTAGGCATCACGGAGTTTTCCTCCGTGGCATCCCAACAATTACTCCATTCACACACAGAAGAAGGCAATGGCAAACCACTTCTGGATCATCTGCCAAGAACGTATATGAACAGGTCCCAGTCCGAGAAAAGGATGGAAGGATCCTGTTCATATGGACCTGTCGTCAGACAGAACACTAAATAATAAATGCCCTGGATGGATGTTTGCTCATCTCGAGAGCCATTATTATTAGCAGTGATCTTCAAGATCTTAAAAACTCTGTGTGAATTGTTTCTTTGAGCTAAGACCGAGATTTAGAATGGCTTTGTGATAAGACGTGATATATTTTGATGTGTTGCAGCTTTGTGTAGGCGGCTGTGTCTGAATGGTGGATCGTGTATCAAACCGGATATGTGTGTTTGTCTTCCGGGCTTCACCGGAAAGCTGTGCGAGTCAGGTAGGTGACACCGAGGACCAAAGTTCCCGCCTTGGTAACAACTGTTGTCTGCACAGACCGACCACACACGAGGTCCATACGAAATTTAAGAATTTCAGTGTCACAGTAACTTCGAGTGTACACATTGCAACGAACTGGAAGTACATATTTCATCATATAAACCAAACTGTTTATGTATTCGGGCAAAAGATAAACTACAGCCCGTTGGCCGCGTGTGATGTTCGGTTTTATTACTGGCGTTGACTTAATTAATCTCTAATTTGTCTAACACAAAATAGAGAACGTGTTGTAATCACAGTAAACTTTAAAGTTTTACGTAAATTTTCTAGTAGGCGTATTTTCGTACAATAATGTTATCAGTTATTTTCTACGTATAAAAGATATATTTCGGAACTTTGACGCTACGTCTTATAATTTTAATGCAGACAAAAATAAATTTTCAAGTATGTATGAAGATGGCTGTCTTTATGGGTTGTTGGCGCTTATTATGGAGGTGGTAAGCACATCTGAAACGTCGATAAACTTCCATACATACACGTCGCTGTGTACTGAGGTGTGAAGAAACTAGAAATTGTTGAGAGAGCTTCGAGGCCAAAGATTCACGAGTGTGGAGACAGAAACTGGTATCAGAACAATAAACCCTCTATCCAGCCGCAGTTCACAAAGCTGGCACGCAGCGCTGTTGCTGGACTCCCCAGGTTAATTACTATTTGCATCACACGCGGAGTATTCTAGATAGTTATCCTAAGGGGATTCGTGATTTTCGCTAATCACGCCAGATAAATGCCACGATATCTTAGTACAGGTCATGGCTAATTCCACCTCCGACTGGTCATTCACCATCATCATCGTATCTCGTCTTTCACACAACATTTTCTACAACTCACATAAAACGCTGACCACGAAACAAGCAGCTCAGGCAAAGACCATGGCCGGTCATCATCACGCACACGTGTTTCGTCTACGCACACATAGTACAGTCCACAGACCAGGAGAAAATCCCTGCTAGGAATTCGATATACGCGCATGCGCAAGATTTCGCGGTGAGTGACGACCCATCCTAAAAGCATTCGTTCCACAACCACTGAACGAACAACAGACGACAGGCTTTCATGTGTTCTAATGGGTACAGCTTTAAGATTACCTCACAGTGGCACAGCGATTTAATCTATAATATTATCGCAACACCCGCAGAACACATTAAAAGTGCGCTCACTACACGCTACTCGTAACTACTTGATGTTTTCAGTCTGTGTAGTAACGTAAAACTCTGACGTGTCACACTCCCCACCAATAGCAGCGAAGTAAATGTGTTCGAGGGAACAGGATATAAGTAACAGAGGAAAATATCCATCTTCGTATATATAACTTCCGTCAAAAAACACTTTTTCTATCTAATATATATTCAAACCTGTCTAAAACAGCACTTCGCTTTTCTCAGAACGTGAAGGAACGTGTTAATTTTGACAAAAATACATTTGATCCATAAATTTGAATTCAAAACTTGTTGATCTCTAATATTAAAATCTCCATCCTCACAGATGTTTCACTCACTGTTCCTGTTACATAAAGAGTCTAACTTTGCTTCGAAACGCGGCTGAAAATGCTACTCATTGACATCCATGCCTCGATGCTACATAACCTACGCAGTTGATGGCGCGTTGTTACATAAACTAAGATACAGTCACCCACATCCTAAATGGCATTGCACTGTATGGTATTTGCTTTTACAAATAAATTTGCAAAAGTTTCAGCCGAAATGGTTTTCTGCTGTTTCCTTTATACAATTTCCAGTTATACAGTGTGTCCACAAAGTCCCTTCGGGATTTTGAAAAATTGTGGCGCGCAAACAAATTGAGCAAGACACATGCGATTTGCGGCAGATTACAGTGAAACTCTGGAAGTTTTTTTACTGACCAAATTCAATCTGCGAAGTTGCAATTTAAAAGTGCCACCTCAGCTGATTTATTCCTTCTTCAAGCTACTTTCAAATTTACAAAAAGTTCTTAGCTTCCTATGTATTTGGTCTGCATGTGTTGACTTTTGTAATCGAATTAAAATACCTGATGAGATTTGATCTTCAGCAATGTGATGCTATATAGCGTTGTAGGTAATAACCATTGCTTCAGAGGAAAATATCATCTCGCGTCTTACACTAAAGGTGGAAGTGATAGGTTTCTCCAAAACATCAGTAATCACCTGCAAAATTGCATGGCATCATAACCCAAAACATCGCAGTCTGAACCAAAATAACTTTGCTGACTTCAAACACACAAGAACAGGTCATGTCGTAGTACGACAACCATGAATCATTCACTATCTCTGATTCATCCAACACCAGGAGCAGCCTTGAAAATGTTAACAGAAATTTTCTGCAATGCCAGTTTATTTAACTTGATATCTACGCCAGTGAAACCACTTACTACGTTTCTGTTTTCCAGATATTGATGAATGTCGAGAAAAACCATGTGACCACACATGCATCAACGTAAATGGAAGTTTCTACTGTCAATGTCACGATGGATTTGACTTGCAGGGTGATGGCCGATCATGCAGAAGTCATGAAGGTAATCACATCTAAATTTCATCTGGAGAGTCGGATGATTCAGTTCGACTCCATTTCTGAACCGCGTGGTTAGAAAACCTGTGTGTGTAAACCCGAGAACATTATCGCCCCTTTCTAGGGATGTCTAACAAATAATAAATGGGGTACAAGGGTGAAGAAGCCGACAAGCACTGTTTCCAGGAACATATCAATCTGTGAAGTCAACAGAACAATTTTAGCCCAAATATTCTGACAGAGCCCATAAAATATAAGTTCCATATTTAAGAAAGATACAAAACAGAAGTTCTTTTGTATGGGGCAAAAACTAGGGAGACAAAATAACAATTCAAAAATATTTCTTCAGTGGCAACCCCTTGGGTCCAGATAAATACAGTTACATTAAAAATTCCCTGTGTCCAAGATTTCATTTCTTATTTCTTATTCTACTACAGAATTTTTCAAAATAAACAATAACGATACACACTTCCTTATATTTCTCAAAATATCCCCATTCAATATGTCTTTCAATGCAGTGAAAGAGTTAGCGATTCAAGAACTCCACATCAATTAATACCAATCCTACATAATCTTTGATTTATATAGGATTTATATATTCGCTGTATTCCAATGCAGACAGAAATATCTTTTAAGAAAGAACTGAAACAGTGCAATAAGCAACCAAGAATAAAAGTAAAATTAAAGTTGTCCCGCTACGCGCCATGTAGGTGCTTGTGGGGAGAGGACATATAGCTCCTTGTCATTCCTGTCCTCGTCACTAGATGGGTTGAGTGGTCGTCATCACGCCCCAGCCCCAGGAAAGGACCCCTAGTACCCATTCAACATGAGGCTAAGCGACCAAGAATAACTTTCTTTAATTACTTATTACTTGCTTATTTTAATCCAATTTGCAGGAAAAGATGCAACAGAAGCTAGGGATCTCTTAGACTATGATATTCTTGCAAAGAAGGTCCAGAAACTTGAAAAGGTACGTCTGTTTTTGAACATCTTACAATAGACACGTGATCATGACATGAGAATAGGGGATTTTAACGCCTGTACTACAGGGCTGCCAACTGGACTTTAACTTCTGGATTAACAGTTGTACAGTACGCCAGTGCGAAGACATGATACATGGATGATGAAGCTAATCTCACCACTGCATATAATTGTATTATTATTAATCAGTTTGTGAAAAATGTCTAAACCAGGAATGTGCTATCATTTTTTTAATACAGGCCAGTCTGAAGCTGTGGTACTCACAGGTTCAAATGAGCCACATTACATGTTTAAAATTGTTTACTGAGCATACTGGCATGCATGGTTTTCCTCACTCCCTCCGTCCACACAAATAACAAGACAGTACCTTAAATTAGGCATTATTAATCCCATATCATTTGACACTATACAATCTGAGCTAAGGACAACAATGTTTAATAAACCAAACATAAATATCTATGTCCCTGCAGGTTATGGTAAGACACTCGTCTGATCCAGCGACAGACGAAGCAATATCAGAGCTTAAAGGCAAAGTTAAACTGATTATTGAAAATATAGCAGAACTCAGACATCAGCTAAATGATATTGTGAGTATTCATGTAATATATATACAGCACTTACATTATGTACATTATCGTATCGCTTTCACAAGTTCAAATCACTTCAGTCTATTTCCAAATTGAATAATAAGTCCCAAACTTTCAAAAATTTTCTCATTCCTGATTTGTCACTCCTGGTTTTCAATAATGTATTTTTAAAATGCTAATTAGCATCCTCGTACTCCATCTACGTACTCTTTCTGTTACTAATAACACAACCGAGTATTTAAGAATTTGTCCATTATGGTAAAAAAATTTCCTAGACTTGTCCAAATGTTGCTTATAAATGTGTCTTAAACTCTGTATTATAATAATTTTTTCCACAAAACTGTTTGTTACACATCCGTTAATAAATAGATTATTCGTATAGTTCAAAAACCTAATTTATTAGTAATTACAGAAACAAATTACAACGCAGAGACACTGAGGAAATTTATAACAAAAGATACTTATTACTTCACACGTGCGTATAGGTTAGGTTCTTATATGGTGTGGCCTTGAATGATTCTTGTACAAACTTCACCACAAGGTCATTGAAGAAAATACGACATTGTCCTAGTCAAGGAATTAGAACTCAGGTCTTGTATGTGGGATGTCCTAGGTTCAGATCTTGGCCTGACTGGTAATTTTCCTCAGTTGGTTCAGACACATGTGGGATCATTCAATGTTAAATCATCTGAGTTACTGACAATGTTGTTAAATAAACCATAAATACCTAATAATCTATTTATAAAAATGCCAGGTCTGTGTTGAATAAACAGTGACAATGAAATCCCCATTTCATGTTTGTATGAGAGACAATGGAAGTTAACACCAAGTAAATACTTAAATTGTAAAACTTTTAAAAAAGTACATGTAGCCCTAGATTTACGCCAGGGATGTGTTTCTGGACGAATCCGCGTAATCGGAATAAATTGGATCGATTTTATAATGTAAATTAATGGGAAGTCAATAACATGCATTCCCAGCATCCAAACATAAACAAGTAATATAATGGCATTATATTTAAAGCTCTGAAATAACGTAATTAAAATAAACGGAATTTAAAAAATATATTTTATACACTTACAATCGGCGATGGCGTGATGAAACGGCGTTAGTTCTCTGAAGAAGTCCCTGGTTGAGGATCGTCACGTTTTTTGGAGAAGGCATGTAGTATGGATTGTCGTGATTTCTTCTTTCTTTCTTTCTTTCAAAATTTCACAATAAGGCCTCATGGACGCCATTACACTCCTCTTCGTTGTAGCACAAGAGCAAACTCGCACATGCAAAAGTTTTTATTTCACAAACAGCTCTTACCGATTCACTGATCTCATTGGAGCAAATTCCGAGTTGACAATACATACGTAATAGCAGAGATGACTGTAAAAATCAGCGTTGTAAGAATTACGATTAAGTATAAGAAGCAGTACGAGAAACATTGTAAAAATTTATAAATAATAATTTTTTTTTTCACTTTTTGACTTTCTGGTTTCAAAATCGGCGTTATTCCGAATCGGCGCAAATCGAGGGCTACATTTATTAAGATTAGGAGTATAGAAAATTCAAACCAAATGAGAGACGCTCTTAATTCATGAAATATCAGATGTTTTACTATGTAAATATAAAAATACTGTCAAATCTGAGAACATAGAAATCTGAATCAAACAAAGTTTGGTTATTAAAATTTAATGATGGTTCATGTATTCCCAGGAGAGACACCAAAATGAGTATCATCAGCAAATGGAAAGTCTTCAACCATACAGAGTTGAAATTCAACGCATAAACACACTGTGTGATCAAGTAGCAGGGATAAAGCAAACACTGAATGAATGTAAGTATCTAAACGTAATAAACATTTTCCTACAACGCAGATTAATTAATTCTCTTTTGAATTAAGTCTTCGTTTCCATTTTTGGTCACTGGCAACAGAGAAGTTAACTGACGTTTTGGTTTTTGCAGGTAATTGCAGAAGTTACTACAGCAACAGACTTGTTCCTTAGAATTCCACGTGAAAAAATTTAAATACATGAAATCATGCCTTCAGATGTGAAGGATAAATGAAATACAAGACATTCAGAGAATAGTGTATACGAGATGGTTTCTAACCTCACTCTTACAGTTAATGTTTTAAGAGGGACCATATGATGTGGGACACCGTCCCACTTTGTTTCGGTAAGATCTGAAACCATTCCAGTTCTTCTGTCATTGCCTACAATTATGTCAAGTATTATAATCTTAATCTCCATTCTCAATTTTGAACAATTACAAAAAACATGAGTTGCAACTCAAAAGCACCAATGAAACAAATATAACCAGGCGAAATGAAACTTCTGTTCACCGAAGAAAATTCCCTTGGCATCAGACCAGAGGTTTGTTTATACAAATATTTTATAGGTGAGATTTCAGGTTCTCATGATGGTATATATGAAGAGAGTGTCCTCTGGGATGTTGCACGTGTAGTACGGTAGAAGTTTACCGACATTTCAAGGGCACTTGCTGTCTCCACCATCAGACTGATAATAAAGTACCTCTGAAACATCAGAGTACACAGTGCAACATCCAAGAAGATGGTCATCTCCAAATATTTTATACTTGCCTCTAGAAAGAGTGAAATTGTATTGATGGAGCTGCGAAGAATGGAAGTCGGAAATCTTTTGTACCTAGTCTAATTCACGAAGCCACTGCCATTATACCGACATGCTTTCCAAAAGGAAAAATTGTACTGAAAACGAGTCCCTATTTAAAGATAATGTAAAGAATAACCAAACTCAGTTAAGTCTTCTTAGGCAATCAGTTGTGTAAGGTGATTTTTGTGACCACGCGACGTGGCCGATCGCCTGAGAAGACTTAATTAAACTTTGCCATGAAAGGTCTAGATAATACATCAATAACCACACTGCCTTAATTTTGCAAACAGATGATTTCATCACTGTTTAAGTTAGAAACCGTCCTTCGTTTTAGCCCAACCACAACCGCAACCAATAAGGATACAATTAGATTTCCATAAAAGCATGTTCAAATGTATTCAAGTATGGAATCTTATGCGATTCTTCACTTCTAAATTAAATGCATATAAAAAGCACAGAAACTGCCATAACTATAAGTACCATACGCCAATTAAGTTATTTTCCGGATGCCAAACCGACGGCACGAGACAATTCCTATTCTGTTAATTTAAAACCGCTTTCGCTTCAGTTACGTACCTGTAAACCCCTCCAAAGTATTTAAACAGGAATCACGATGAGCTAGATGATAAAACTATAAAATACATTCCAATGGCGAATAAAATTTATGTTAGTGTCACCACAGACAACCAAAGCGCAGACAGGGAAAAATACGCATTACTTGTCTAACTCGGATACATCACCCACCTGCAAGAAGGAAAAAATACTGCACATTCTGTTTACAGGGATATTAAAATATATTAATAATTTCTAAGTTGAATAGTAATTATCACTGGATACAATTAATAGTTTTGTGAATCAATTGATTTGAGCATCAAGGCAACATGGAGACATGATTTAGTAGTATTATTTATTTTTATAATGCTTGAAAATGTGGGCTGATTCTTTTTTAATATAAAAACGCAAACAAGAAATGTGTGAAACTGCTTGTATGCAGAGAAAGTTCTTCTTCTTTTGATGGAATTTAGTCTGTAACGACGTCTTTCACCGACGACAAAGTGGCTATGAGATGAAGCTCAAAGCAAATCTGTGACATTGCCACTGACCTACGCCACTCAGTCTTGATCCTTCGCTCTCCAATAATGATTAGGGAGAGCATAAAAATGTTCAGGTACATGGTAAAGTTCTAGCGAGTTAGAATCCATGTTGAAAATAGTCGTATATGCTGATCCACAATACTGATCTAATTTTCCATAAAAAAATTATATATTTATTATCTGGATGAATGAAATGTGAAAATAACAGACCAAGTTTCGCGTAAGAATCTGTTTTTTTTATTGAAAAACGTAGTTATCCATCATCACAGCAGAGTTTAAATCTCACGCATGCGTAAACACCCAACAAGGAAATTAAACATAGAACAACACGTAACATTCCCCATTTTCCTATAATCCTACATGTTTTATTTATTGTGAGGCTGCAACAAGGAAAAGTTTGGAAAATGGTAAAATAATATTGACACAAAAGCAAAGCATTTACTCAAAAAATCATAATGGCAACTGACTCGATGTATAACAATTTCACAACCGTTAAGTACCAACTCTCATGACTGTCAACCGTCACGAACAACCGTCCGCAGACTGGGAGCTGGCGAGGCGGTTTTTCTAGAATTAAAGATGGCCTTGACCGCGCAACCACCATTTCTGTTTAACATCTGCTTTCGCTTGAATCGTATAGGACAGACGTTATACCGGTGCTTACTCGTTGCATCGGCATCAATGGCGGGTGGCTGAGAAAACCCGTACGATGTGCGATCCATCGTCAGCCATCTGTAACGGGCGCCCTCCATATCTGGATACATCCTTGACGTGCATATTCAACTATTTATTCAGATTATATGCCAACATTTTACAGAAAATTTATAAAACTGAGCATGTTAGGAAAAATATTCATATTCTAACTTTAAAAGAGTAACTTTTGACAATTATTCATCAATAGAAACTTCTTGTGAACGCGGTTAACCCAACATTTACTCCAATTTTCCACCTCCGAAGAAAATTTATCATAGGTAATGTCTTATTAATCTCCACTGTAAGTTCTGTATATACAAAAACTAAATAATTTCTGAAATGTGTTAAAGCATCAAATGTATTTCATGCTCGTGGTTTATGAGATTATACTGACGTACGGCCGAGCAGGTCACATACCGCTACAGGATGAAAAATGTACCTGCAGACTGCGATCTATGAAAAGTTCAAGATACTGGAGATAAAATAAAGTAACAAAACAGTATGTAATCTGATTTGAGTCGAATAAACAATTACATTTATGTGGTTTTTATTTTCCTCTTTACGCAGCGTCACATTTCCGTTCACCAACTTTTCATATAACGATTCTGAGTGGGCCTCGAAACGTGTATGTGCAAAGTTAAATCTTTAGTTCAAGAAATGGTACTTTCTGGAATCTCATAATTTTTAAGAACTAAATTATTAATTATTGGTTTTAAAATTATTTTATAAAGTAAGAGTGTTGACGTAGTATCTCCTACTACTTCAGTACAAAAATTTGGGCCGGTTACATGAATAGCTGAAATATTCAATTATTAAAAAATACCCATCTAATTCTTTTTCTTCTGTTTATCTTTAATGTGTTTCCTCTTGAGCTTATCTTTCCTTTTTCTGTTCACTATGGCTCTCTTCTTCACTTCTCTTCGGCTCAACCACTCCGGATAGTTCCCACATTCATCCCTCAGTGTCTTCTTGTTGTATTTTGGTTTTACTTGATCAATTTCCATCAACACTTTCCCTGCTTCTTCAATACTTTTTTCTTCAGGAACATCTTTTCTCTTTTCCTGAATGGATTTTGCATCAATAACTGAAAACAATTCAAATTCGTTGTACCAACGTCTATACTAAATTTCTCATTAGCTGCTTCTACTAACGTCAAGGCAACTTTATGATAAGAACTTCCTCGTGGAAAAATATTTTCTTCCATAAAAACCTCAAATGTGGCTCTTATGTGTTCCACAATAAACATTAATTACTGGCCTATTCTATGAACATTTTCATTGTGTTCTGTTGAAGAGTGAAACTCGCACTGCAGTAAACTCAGAAGAAAGACTTCTATATAAAACATGACAACCAGAACAAAAAAGAAATCTGGATTTAAATGGTGTTAGAATTATGCAAAACACACAAGGCTTATTATTTATGGTTAATGATATATATCTGGTTAAAGTAGCATTTGAAATGGGAAGTTCTTTTTAGGGAAGATTTCTGACAAACATGTTCTGAACAAAAGCAAAGATGAAGGCAGAAAGTAGTTCTGAAGTTTGGAAGGCTTTTTGTAATTCATTAAATCATAATCCCATATTAAATACAGTGTCACACTGAGGGTGATTTTAAACTAGGTTAAACCTTATTTACAGACTCAGTAAAAAAAATTACCTGTTGCTATATTATCAATATCTTTCATTTCAGTATCTCCATTTTCATCAATTCCCAAAACCTTCTTCAACAGAGCCAATTCCTTCTTTCCGTATCGTTCCCTCTTTATAGCTCTCATTTTCCGTTTCCACTTACTTCGTAAGCTTTTCGCCATATTGTTCACCTGTAATCAGCAACATAAATACTTCATATGCACAAAGACTGAGGACATGTAGCATGCATTGGCAAGCCAAGGAAGGAATGTAGACAATTTAGTCCTGCACAGACCTGGATACAAATGGGAAAGATAATAAAAAAATACTGGTGATCATGAAGATAACTGATTCCCTGCAAAAATACAAATGCAAATTTAGTTTTAAACGTGTTCAATTAAAGTTGGACCCATGAACATAACGGTACAAAAAGCGTAATTTATTTGCCTAGTCTTTGCTGAATGAAGGTTATGTTAGAATAAACGACACTCTGGCCTACAATAATACATTCCCCTTACTGTGGAGTATAATGTAAACTCAATAATTCATTGTTTTACTTACTAATTATGTCAGTCGAACAATATAACACCTCAAATTCAACTTAACACGTATAAATATGTAAACCTCCCTCTAGAAGACAAGACGATTCCAACATGCCCTACAACATGCTTTACCGACTTCCGGTACCGACATTCTACTTCACTGCCATCTATGACTGATACGAAAATACTTTTCAGTCCAGCAGTGGTAGCTTAGTCGATAAGCACAATTTCTATTCTAGTCTTTGAAATGATTATCGTAACTCCAGGTAATAAAACTAAACCGATACCAACAGAGGAAATTGTTGTGACACATCGCTCTGATGATGGAGGCAGCAAAGACCTCTGTAACGTCGATAGACTTCTACCAAATTACACGGCGCAACAACACAGAAGACTCAACGCTGTGGAAACATCAAATCCTACAAATGTTAGAACTTCAGCCGCTGTCCACGTCCGCGGTTTCAAGACACAACATTCGCTGATGGAACGGATATCCTTAATTGTGTAATGTTTCTCGGAGGGGTGGACGAAGGTTCCGCCAGAGGCCCAATTCCATCAACTGCCTACGTTAAGAATGCATGGAGCTGTGTCTCCATTCCATTTATTGGCCAACTATGGCGCTGGGGGATGACACAGTAGTGGCGACGCAAAGCCAGTGCGGCGACATCTGGAACGAAGATGTTCTGCTCTCAAGTGACAAGGATGTTTTTTTTTTTTTTTTTGTATTCCACGCTCTAACCAGGGGCACCCAGAATCCTGTTCTGTCGCCCCTAGTGTTCACACAAACTTACAATTTCGTCGACACGACAGCAAAGATTTCGAACACTAATAAGTTTAACATTCAGTGGTGATGGACGATTTACTAAAGCTTTGTGACAATGGTTAATTCGCTTTGACAGTGTATATTGATACAAACGACGTTTCAAAAGTTGGTTCTACTCCCATCTTCAGGTGACAGGTTGTCATTTTACTGGCATTGTTATTAAATTCCTATCTATTCATCACTTTACAGGATATTTACTTCTATGTACCTGAGAGAAACCTAGCCTCTGAGGTATTATCTGAAATACATCGTCTTTCGAATGACGTATGAAGATCCTAAAATGGCGGTCTTCTGAAGTTCCCTGATGTCGTGTTC